AGCCAAGTGAAGAAGACCTAGAGTTATTCGCTTGTGCTTTTTCAGCCCAAGAAATCCAGGTGTGGGGCGCACCTTTTTTGACACATCCATCATCACCTCTACCGCTGTCAGCCTACCTCAAGACTTGGTAGCAGGCACCTTCACGTAAGCCGCTCCCTCACCAGGACAGCGCTGCAGCAACAGTTTGATATTGGAACCTTTGTCCCCCCACCCGTATTCATTTCAATATAGGCAATATTTGCAAAAATACCACGAGTTATTGCTCCTTATATGCGAAAATACTATGAGTTATTGCTTACATAAGACCTCCAACGTCCGAAATGACATGAAACTATGACATTTATATATCATTTGTATATAGGATTGGTCACCTATAAATATATAAAATATTCCAAATATCTAAAGACATGCTACTCTGAATCGACACAGTGATTGTCCACATATAAGATCTCCAAGAGCACGGCAGCCTTTGACTGTAAACTGCTGGCGGAAATAGATCTTTACTTAGCAGTCCACAATAGATAATCCAATTTTTAGGGAGTTATTTTGGCACACACAATGGGATATTGGGAACCCTTTTACCCAGACATGGTCTCAAATTTACTACATATTGCGCAAATAAGTAGTAAATTATTCATTATGGGATGCCTAAACCACCTTTTCCCCAAAAGTTATAAGGCTTTTTCTCCCACCCACCCTCCCTTACTTTTGTGCCCCCCAGTCTTGTTTTAACTCACTCATGCCGCGTCGGTTCTGGGAGGAACCTGGCAAGGGGGAGGTAATGTAGGATACAGCGAGTATGTATGAGCTTATCTGAAGACGTGCGCATAAGAAGTGCAGCACTCAAAGATATATAGCAAGTACCAAGCGCATGTCCTATTCGAAGAGTCGAGAAGGATCCGCGAAGCAATTAGGATCACATGTTCAAAGATGAGCGTGAGCAAGTCAAGGATGATTCAAGCAGCGTCAAAGGATCACATTTTCAAACCTTCCATTTTTCAACTTTTGCCTACATAGCATGCCAACCTAAAGGGCAATCGAGAGACCATTGCCAACAAGTATGAACAGTGTTGGGGAATGCATCTACTTGCATACAACAATGCAAACATGGCAGCTATTCTATATCAAATCCTAAAAAGACATCGGCAACCTTTTGGGTACAAGACACAATCTTTGGAACAGCCCTCTGACCAAGGGCATCCTATTATTTGGCAGCTTTGAGCGCCACCATGGATCTGGGCAAGTCAACCAAAACTGCGCCACTATGGCAGCTATGAGCGCCAATACAATGATGTCATTCATAATCACGATCGATCAGAAAGTCTATCTCGACTCAAATCACAGATCAACCATGATCACGATCGATCAAATCAATCAAATGATGTCATACTCAGACATGTGACTAGGGACATCATGCCACCTCCCAACGCCACATGATTACATCAGCATAGATTATGTAATAAAGAACATATACTGGTCAAGATTCGAACCTGGTACTTCACTGCCCCCATGGCATAGTGGCAAGCAGCATGGGGGCAAGCAAGTGGACGATTACAACCGATGACCGCGTTCGATAACCGGTGAAGCCCTCAATTGGAACCAGTATCCGGAGTGATAACTGAAGGGCCGTGGCAGGGCCTTAAATGTCTCTTTTTACAAATCATGCATTTTGAATGACCTTAGCACGTCGTTAAACTGTTCAATTTTTGACAGCTTTGAGCACCATGAATGACCAAGCACATGTCTTTAAACTGCAAGCCCTTTTGCACATCATTTTGAGCAACAGAAGCCAATAGCGCTGTCTG